CTCCTAGTGGCGGGAAATAATTTAGCAGTGCCGAAGCGCGCGCACACAAAATCACACCCTTGGGTTGTGACAGTACACAAGCCCCAATCAGATCCGGACACTAGGCAGTCTTCCAGTTATGTCTTGACTTGATTCCCTAGGTATGGGCTGACCGTGCAAGACACAGGATGGTCACCTTTCAAAGGATGCATTGTTCACTACTTTCAAGATGCACCTAGATAGGAAAATGTTGTATAAGTCTAGTGATAACCATACTAGGAAGGGGGAAACTTGAGCTTATTTCCCTCCTCAGATTGAGGGGACTAAACCTCACATCTGCCAGAACAGTACAGACAATGCCCTAACCAACAACGATAGAGGCTATAAGGAGTCAGGAACACTCTCCACTCCTGTAGAAGCGGTCCAGCAAAAAATGAAACATTCCCCGAGCAAGAGAGCCTGAGAAGCACCATGACTCAGTAGTCAAGACATATTTGTGGGGGGGCAGAGGGATATGTCAGTCCTCTTTTCTATTCCCTACTTGGCTTGATATCATAACTTCCTTGGAGCAGAGACCATCTTTCTGCCATGCATAGGCACATGACCAAGCTTGAGTTTAAGGGCTAGATATTTCCATAAAATTAAGAGAACAGGAAATAAGCAGGAGAAAAAATTTTTTTTATTTACATGTATCAAACGGCAACACTGCTGTAGTGATTCTTTAGGGAACAGAGTATCCAAAAACAGGCATCAGCAAACATACAAATATTGAGCAGTTCTCTAAACAAGCTGATACACAGAAGAAGGAAGCTTGCTCCTCCCTACTCCTGAAGTTATATTACAAAGTTATTTTAGAAACTGCATCAGATTCACAGTACAGTCCCAAAGGCAGAATTTGGGAAAGGAGCAGAACTGCGCTCTGCCATGGCAGGTGGACTCCAATGATAGTAGGGTAAAGCACAACTCATTTACAGTGGGAGGCTTTACTAACAAACGATAGGTTTAAGCACTGGGGCCCAAGAACGGTCAGAGTGGGATGACAGCTCAAAATGAGGATTTGATCCATCTTTAAGACCTTCAGGATGGAGACCTGTAGAACCGAACAGAACGCACAACTTCTGAAACTAAACCTGTTCCCTTCCCAAAAAGGAAGCTTTGTGTCAGCATACCCGTTCAGACTCAGTGGTGCTTAAACATGGTATTACTGTGGCTGTAGATATCCATAGAGGAATGGTTTAGCATTTTCTCTACCCAAAATTTGTAGAAGATAATGACCAGGTCAGATTTGCATAACAAAACACTAAAGCCAGTTACAGTTCAGGCTAAAATGAGGCCCAGAGAGGCTGTTCTTTCACACCTCTATTCTGTTGTCTCTTTTGAGATGGGGGGGGAAAAGAAAGCATCAGGAAACAGCTCCCACCTCTCCATAGAGAAATTAAATCATCTTAATTAACCTCTCCCTGGTTCCTGCATTTGTGAGGGGCCCAGTCATCAAACGGATTTAGGGGACTGGGCCTTAGGATCTTCTCAGGGGAGGTGGAAGTGCAGAGATCACCTTCCCTCACCTCAGTCTGGGGCTGAGGCTGTGGACTCTGGGTTAATACTAGAAGAACCAGTGCAGCTGGATCTATACTATAGACTATTAGAGTATTATGTACTCTGACTCCTATAGAAAGGCTGGTGCATGCAGGCCACTCACCTCTAAGAAGGTTCTTACAATGGCAAACAGCTGTCCCTACCATCCAGACATAGCAGCTACCTCAAAATCTATGCAGATGCCTAAACACCTGCCCCTCACTCCTCTGTTAGCTCAAGAAATAAAAATTAGCCTTCTGGCTAAGATAAGGATCAAGAATGATGTTGGGTTCAGACACAGATTACCAGGTTTCTTAATTTTTAAGGGAGGTGTTGGATTCATACAGGTCTCTACACACAAGGTCTCTAGCAGCTACAAAACCAAAGGCCAGATGGTTCTGCCTTACCCAAAGGAACACCTGTGGCAGCCACCTCCAAGTGTCCCTACCAGCCCCCCTTATTACTTTTGTTAAAAACAAAAAAAACCCAAACAAACAAAAACCAAATTTGTGAGCTCCAAATGTAAAGCCTAGCTCTACAACAGTGCCTGAGCATTTAGTATAACAGAGTTGGGATACCTCTATGCTACAATAACTGCAGGCTCAAGGAAACCCACATTATCTTCAGCTATTGCAGCATAGACATCCCCTTGAATTCCAGGAAACATGCTCAAACTAACCAGCAATGATGATAAACCCTGAGGAATAGCCATGCTCTGCATCTTGGAAATAAACATTTTACTAGTGTTCAGGTGTCAAGTGATGTAGCTTTAATTCATCGGTCATCCAGCATGGTGTATAAATGGATCCTCCTCCTCATTGTAGTCAGGTTACAAATGTACAAGTCTCTCCTCAAACTGAATGACATTTTCCCCCCTCTGCCAAGAATATAGAGTGACTGACACCTGTAATTTTGAAGCATAAGAATATAAAAATGCATAAGGTTCTTTCATCTGAAACCTGGACATGAACACATCATCCTCAAAGAGTGATAACATCGGAGGGGGAGGGGGGGTTCCCGAAGCAAAGTACTGCTGAAAATGAGTTTGCATATACAGGAGTATGGGTGTGCCTCAAAATATTAATGAATTATATAATTTCTTTAGCAGCCTGATCCTGAGAGCAAAGTACAGGACTACAATCCCTAAACTGGAAAAAAAAAAAATCTAACTTCAGCACAAGAGTCCATGAGTATCCTTCTTATATCTGCAAAATGGGTATCATACCCACTGCCCTGGAAAGATAAGCATTCATAACATGTTATCATATGGAATAAATGACCACATGCATGCAGGGAAGGCAGAGGACTACTGGCATGCTGAGAGACAGACAAGTGTGAACCATTATATTTACAGTTTAAGAAACTCCTGGACCCATACACTAAGGGATGCTCTTGACTGGTACATCTCCATGCTGTTCTTAGCTGTTCATTTTACAGCACCACAATAAATAATTATTTCACTGAGGGGAGAAATATGGAGGATGGGAGGCTCTAAGGAAAATTTTGACCACAAGATAAAACAAACTGCAGCAGTCTAACCCACAAAAGTTGGAAAGCATTGGCCCCTTCGTAAGTTTGATGGAGAAGGAACATAATCTCATATTAGACTCATATTTGTAAATATAGAGCATTTAAAATACAGTTAAGATGAAAGCAAATAAAGTGTAAAAATCTATTTCCCAAGATCACACCACAGGGCAGGGCAATAAGAAGCAGGGAAGTGTGAACCTGGAGTTGAATGCTTGTTTAAAAATGGATGAAGTTATGCAGCATTACAGATGTTGGCAAGTAATGCTCAAATGCTTCTTCTCTTTACACTTTTTAAAACCCGAAACTCCAGCTGGAGCAAATCCATGTTTACAAGTTTAGTGGCTTTGACAGGTTCCCACATTTTAGATATTTGAAGCGCTTGCCTTGTCTCTAATTTATTCTCCTGCTCACCCCCACTCGCCTTAAAGCACAATCGTAGTCTTCTGTTATAAGGCCTCAAAACTGGTGTCTCAAGAGACACTCCCTCCTTCTACGCACTGAAAAGCACAAAGGGAACTTATAGGTAAAGATGCCAGTCTCACTTTCTGGCTTATTGCCTTTTGGCCAGTAGTCCTCATTTAATCAAACAATTTGTGGCTTGGATACTCAAGGAGACTAGTACAGCAGATTACAATTCCTGAGATGCCCTAGAAACCCAGCTGTCAGCTCCTCCACACAATGCATGACAGTATTAAAAAAGGTGGCAGTACCTTGGAAGTGCAACTCCTGTTATTACGTTCACATATTTGTTCAAACTAACGTGTGCAGGTTTCCAGAGGTCTTGTATCTACATACAAAGTAGGTATTTTTAAATATAACCCCCTTGTTGCTTAAAATACTGGGTTTTGACAGTTATAGGGTTTGCTGGAAGTGCCCAAAATAATTTCATGAATGTTCAAGTTAATGGGTAGCAGAACCTCCCAACAAGTTCCCATGAAATCAGACTATGTTCTGTGGCCGTTTCCCCAGGGCTGCTGAATTTAGTGGAAAGTGTTCATCAAGAGCAGAGCTTGGAGCATATCAGCACTTCCAGGTCACCTCTTTTAGAGAAAGGCAAGTGGAGCTCTACAGGAGCAGGTTTCTTGCCCGCAGGTCCTCTCTCTCCTGAAGATGCTTTAGTTGCTCCCGACTCCATGTCTTGCATGCCTGGGACTCAGCACCATCTTTCCTTGGTGCTGAATATTACAGGTGTGGCCTATATCCCCCATTACCCCTAAATCACCCTGTTCATCAGTGCATTTCCTCCATACCTATTAAGACTGATGCATATGAGGGGAGAGACCTACTGGCTTAAAAAGGCTGTGGGGTAGGTGGGTTTATGTCACAGTAGAGGTGGGGTGTGTGTATGTGTGGGGGTGGGGGGGAAGGCTGTACTGAAACAATACTATTGTACTTTCCCCATACACAGGAGACAAAGATGACATTTCTGAGATCAGAAATGGTTTGATCTCAGACCAAAACTATGCACTCCAGCTAGGAAGATGGTTGCCTCACCATACGAGAGCACACCATTTCACAATCTTTCTATTACAAAAAACAACATGCGACTGCCTAGAATGTATTATGGCAAATGCAACGCTAAGCACAGCCCTCAGGAGGAGATCATACTCTGCTGTACTTTATTTGCATTAAGGCTGATCACAACAGGACAGCTGTGAGCTTGACGGCTAGTGATAACAGGCAACCAGTAGGTCCTTAACTGAGAAGGTCAGACTGCTATATTAAAAGGGCTTTCTATTGTCACGGATAGGAGAAAGGGAAGAGGAATAAAGTGGAGAGCAGAGTGGAAATACTGAGCGAGTCTCACCCCAACAGTAAGAAGAGAGAGAAAGGTGTGAAGATGTCTACAACCTGCTGTCTTTTCAATGTTAGCTGCCTGCTAGCTTGGAAAAAAAACAAAACACATAACCCCAACCAACCCTCCCTTCCCCCAGTGCCAAAAAAGTTTCCACTCAATTCAAATTCTGAACATAACTTAGAAAAGTCCAATCCCAACTCCTCCCCCTACACCCAGCCAATCTTCAAGAGCATATTGCAAAGAGCAGAAAAGTCAGGTATGGACATTTCAGTGACAGACTTTTTTTTTTTTTTTTTAAACAAAAATCAGTCAAGCTGTCTACTGGAATATGGTGGTAGCTTTTTAACTAGCAACCCTAGTTAGTTACCGATTGCTAAAATTGAGCATGGCTAGCTAAGCAAATAAAGCAGCTTGGCAAAAAGAGTTCTCAAAAAGTCTAGTTCGTAAAATTCAGCTTCTTATTTCTCAAAAATATGTATCTTGGTTTTTCTTAAATATAGCTTTATAAAATAAGGCAACTTTAGACATGGCATAAGAGGTAAATCCTATTCCCATTAATTAGGTACTGCAGCTATTAAAGATTAAATCAAACAAATGTACAGTACTTCCAGTTTAGCAAAAAGCCATCATCTCCAGCTCAAACAGAGACAGGAACAAGGCTAACTAAGGAAAAGTTGTCATTCATCTGAAAGGTGTTTGCTCATAATAATCCATTCACAAGTAACTAGAAATGCTTCTCCTAACAAGAATCACTGGCGGCTCTAAAACATTTCAGAACCACTACTATGAAGTGTTATAACTGCAAATGCAAACTGGAAATGGATGTCAAGACATAAAATGATATACTACAAAGCTTTTTCAGACCAGAAGCGGTAACCAGAGTGCCAGAGGAAAAAGCCTATATTCATGGTAAGATATTTTTTGGTACTAGTCTCAAGTCAGTTCTAGAACGCAATGTTTTTTATTCAGTAGGCAAAGAATTTCCTGCCAAGTTGGGCACTGATTTTAAGTTAGCTGCATGCTTAATTGTACATCACTTCAAGCACAAGTAAATTGAGCACATGGTCACAGAACCAGCATAACCCGGTTATCATGGAATGTACAAGAAACGGACAGTTTGCTTTAGATTCACAAAGAAAGTGCTTAATACCAGCAGTTGGTCCCGACCTTGCCATTCGACATACACGCACGCATACCTCAAGTGGAACTCAGTCAGCCAGAGTTGTGTCTATATGTGAGGTCTCTTCTTTTATTAACAGGAAGAGGAAAGGTTCACAGGCAGCCCCCATAAAAGCTAAGGGGATTTCCTCTCAAAATAACCCCCGTATTCTGAGGGGGAAAGAACCTCCATTATAAGGCAATACAACATACAGAAGGGATTTTTCCCCAGAGGAAAAAAACAAACAAAAACAAAACCAGGTATTAAAGTAAATCTTTGGGACCAACCAATAATACACCCATATCTTATAGTATTAAAGCTATAAACTGTCAAGCACCATCTAGTGCAACTCTTCTCCTAGGCAAATGTAGGCATACTCAGTTTCCTGGTCAATACTATACCACATAGTGAAAACTACATCAGATAGCAGCATTTTTTATAATATTTTTCCTTTTTCTCTTATAAAAATAAAAAGAAAGAAAGAAGCACATACATATATATTCTAGCCCCCCATGGATTTTCTTCTGCACTTAATACTGGAAGTGTGGGCCTCATGAGTTTTGTAGTGTAATTCTTTTTTTCAGGTTACTCACCAATTCCCATGGGGCTAAAGTTTGCATCTTAGTACTATTTCTCTGAGAAAAAGTTTCAAATAAGTCATCATGGTGCATTATCTTAAGGAAGTAGTGCTGCGGAGCAACAAAAGAGCACATTGCACATCTTTGTGGAATTGGGGGTGATGGGAAATCACAACAGGCTACAGAAATCCAACAAAGGTTACATCTTGGTCCACAATTTAAGAAATCCTGATCACCAACAGAAATATGTTATAGCCCATAAGACTGAACTTTTTAGTTCAGTCTTGGTCTTAAACCTCCTCCACCCTGATTCTTGCTATAACTGCCTTTCCATACATGTTCTGAAGAAAACTTAAGGAAGCTGTTTTAGACACCGAGCTATCCTCCAGTTTGAGGACAGCCCCAATACCGCACGCACCAAATAAGCAACCATATTAGTTTCTTGCTCCTGTGGGAGGTTTTTAGTTTGCCTCTTCAGAACAGATAGGAGGAATCTTGCTTGAGAGCAGAGTGTAGACATAAGGCCAGATTTTGTTAGTCTCCGTCCCAGAAAATGAGTGTAGGACACCTCTGGTCCTGAAAAACATAGAACAGAAATTAAGTGAGAGATGCATACTAGATGGATTCTAAGAAACACTTGAATTCGCACAGTAGTTTTTCTAGCCTATACTTGCTTGTAGACAATGTGCAAATTAACAGCCAAAGGAACTGAATGCATCCTAAACTCCTGAACAGGACATCTTGTTATTACATGGTTAAGTTTACAACAGAAAAAAAAAAACCTGGCATAAACTTTATCTAGACTACTTTAATCATGTATTCTTTACTACTTAGAGAGAACTTAACTTAGCCCCATAGAGCCAAACACCAGACACGCACCCACATACACACCACCTTCTCCCTGTGTTTTAAACTGCCAGCAGTTGGTGCTCTTGGAATCAGAGGCATGTAAAAAAATTGCTACACCTGTGCCAAATTATCTAAAAGATATATTTAATCAGACCTGTAAAGCACAGATTTATTTTCCTAGTGAATTGTGATAGACTGACATTTGTTTTTCAAATGCAAAAAGCCTTAGACAGACTTAGAATATGCTTAACAAAAGTACTTTAAAAGAAAGTGGGATCACCTGCATACTTAAGTGATAGGGTCAGCTGGAGCCTTATTTCACATCTTTCCCCCATGTGATTATTTCAGTATTTAAAAGGGCTGCTGAGTGATACAGAGTTTATAATCCTCCACCAATCTTCCTGAATTGCTGCACTGTTGGCACAGAACTGAAAATATGCTATGACATGCAAGACAAAACATGCCAAGACAGTCACAGCATAGAAGGGAATATCAATACTATCACTGTGGAGACAGTCGCACACATTTAAGCACCTGAGTAACTTGACTCGCATAGAGTAGCCCCATTAGTACAATATAAATTAAACAATACTTCACAGGGAAGCAAGCTGTCGCTGATAACCTACTAAAAACTTGAATGCAAGTCAAGTTCTTTCAAGCTGCTTGCAAGTTATTACACCATACTCCAAAATACCAGGATTCTTGGTACATGTATATGTGAAGCTGAGAAAAGCCTGCTCTGCTTTTCCCCCATTTTCAAGGAAAAGCCAGATTTCATGACAAGTGGTTTATCGGGACCATTACTCAAGACCAAACTGCTCACCTAAGACCAAAATTTGCCAAGACCAAACTGCTAAGTAGTAATTTCATTACTGCCTGGCATTCCCCTTAGTTGTACTTACCTGCTGCTTCTTATATTCTGTTAACTTTTTTGGGGAGGGACTTTCTGGAGACTTAAGCCAGGGGTCAGCAATCTGTAACCCCTGAGCCAGATCCAGTCTGTGAAGCCACTGGTTCGGTCTGTGGAGACCAGGGGCTTCAGCTGTGCCCACACACTGTGTCTGGGTAGCGGAAAGAAACAGCAGTCATGGCTGGGTCCTAGCACTGGCCAACTGCTGGCAAATGTTGGCGAGCAATGATATAAGTAACTGACTGCTACGTTTTTATTACTGGAGTTCAGCTTGTTTGTTTCTTACTGACCAATACACAGCAACAGTGTAGCATCATGTAGGGGCACACAAGTTAGCCCTGAACAAGTTAGGGTGGGAAGCAGGATAGCTATGGTAATGCAGCACTGCTCCTGAGCCAATACACACAGCATCTCAGCATGGCTAAGTTAGCCTGGGCACAGGACCAGGCTGCAGCAGCTATACTGCTTCCAGTAGCAGAGACAGTTGCTCAGAGTCACTATGGGCATCTCTACATGCCACTATATTGTATCCTGTAGACAACCCTTACAGGCCCATAAGAAGTGACATTTATGATCGCACCTCATTTTAAGCTGTGGTAGCACCAGAAATATTCAAGAACTAAACAAGGACAGTCAAAAAGCCTGAGGCTGAATCAATTCAACCTTCTCAGGTTAGTCTAAGCTGCATATATTGAACTAATAAGCAAGTGAACAGACATTCACTTTTGATTCCAGAAATGCAGCCACACGTCTGGAGTGGCCCCAGTCAAAAGCTAGGGGAGGTGGACGGGGGAAGGGCGCTAAAGCATGCCTCCCTGCTCAGCTGGAGCAGACAACTTTGGTAAAAGCTAGCTCTCTCACCCTGTCAAGGGGAGGGAGGGAAACAGGGCATGCAAAGCATCCTGGGACATTGGGGGACTGCAAGCGTTAAGTTCAATAAACTGATTTAAACCTAAATCAGGAGACACTTCCCTAGCTTGCTCCTGCAGCCATATGGCTAAGGGAAGCTAAATTCAAGGGCATCTGAACCCCAAGCCTCTGGGCTTGGGCCTACATGTAGGATGCTTGTCAAAGGATTTGGAGGCATCTGAAGCCCCAGGCTGGGGTGAAGGAGGTTAGCCAGTAGCAGGGCCACATATGGTTCTTGGATGACTCACGGATTTGGAATTGATCTGGCTAATTTGACTTGGGACATGAAAAAGTTTCCTTAAAAGAAACCAACACCTAAATCAGTTAGGTCTGATACTACATCTATCCAGGTTCATCTTAAACAAGTTTCAGCCATTTTGAAAGTGATTTATGTGCACTGAACTTCTTCTGTGTTACAGATTTTAACCAGTTTCTGCTCACTTATACTAGTTTATGTGCAACTTCTGTACCTAACCAAGGTGCTTTCAGAACACAGGACCAGCTACACTAGCGAGGAAGTGAAGAATAAACTTGTTCAGTGAATACACGGGAGTAATTCATTTCTCTCATGTTATGATGCGGTGAGACCTAATCTTTCAACTCAACCAAAATCAGGCTCAGATGTAGGGTAAAAAGGAAGAGCTAGATTCTGTGCTATTTCTGTTGCGAGAAGCAGCACAAAAAGCACAATTCTGGAGGAAGGAGGGCAAGGCAACCATGCCTCTTACAGCCCAAATAACAGGCTCCAGAGCAAGGAAGAGTAGCCCTAGGAGGAGTCACCAGAGCAGGGCTACCTCCGCTGTTGTGCAGTTCAGTATCCCTATAGCATTACAGCATCAGTTCATCCCACGGCCCTTGCCCCCACACCCTCCTTCTGCCTGCAGAAGTTCCCCTTTAGCATGCTTTTGCCTCTACACATCTCCCACAAGCCACTGGAATGGGAGGTGGAATCCAGCCCTGGAAAGGTGTGGCACATGGCTATTAACTACACCTGTAAAATGAACATCACGCACAGGTTTACTCATGAGAGATCATTTCAAAGACACCCTGACCGAGCTGCGGAGACAGAGTTTGCCTTTGTTTTTATAAGCACATGCTATATTTGTGCACACCCAACTCACTTGTATAGATCTATTACTGGCTTTGCTGCATCTTTGTATTTTCTTAGCCTGGCAGCAACAGCATCAGGTTTGTCATCTTCTTGCTGGATTAATGGCTCTCCTGTGATGTCATCGATCCCCTGCAAAGGCAAACATTGAAACGAGTCAGGCAACACTTAATGAAAATGCTTCAACATAAAGCAATGATATACTGAGGTCACAGAGTTGCACAGGAGGAAGTAAAGGCCAAGTCAGCTAAGAAGAAACTGTATTTATGCAAGATATGAACATCAGAAGTATTGAAATGTATCAGATAAAAAAGTAGCAACAGGATAAACACTGTTAGGACATTACTGCATTTAAAGAGGAATATACTGCTGTGATACAAAATAAAAACAAACTAAAATAGGAGAAAAATATATTCACATACATACAAAAATTTTTTCAGAAATCTGTCATTTGCATTGTGGCTTGCTCAGAATCTAATACTGTTGATCAGGGCTTTCCAAACTTGACACCTGGGACACATTTTTTCTTGGTTAAAGCTGGCAGCACTTAACTCTTACACCCAAAGAGACATCTATATCTTTTCAAAACATAACAAAATTCCGAACCCTGCACAGAGGAATCATACCAGTGCTAAGATGCAACAAAGTAACAGAGCTGTACCCTGCTCTTTCCACTGTCTGCCCACTCAAGACCTGGTCCATATATCTCAGGAGGCAAAGGCATCCCCCACTTCTAAAGCTGCTCCTGCAGGGTCTCGCACTCTAGCAGCCACCACCATCTCCCCTCCTACCAGCCCCAGGAGCATGGAAGGAGTGGAGGGATGACCCAGACTGCAAATTGTGGCTCCATATGTTCTTCTGCTCGCCTGCCCACACTGCTGGGAGCTGGGGGGGAAGGGAAGAGGACTAGCACAGGGGCTGCCTTGGGGACAGGGAAGGCAGCAGCCATGGTGGCAGTCCCCAAAGGAGCAGCTGCAGGTGCCGCTGGGAGTAGCTGGGACAGGCACAGCGTGCTGGATGGGAGAGGAGAGCATTTGCCTCCTCACATAAGGAGGGATTTTATGGCACACATCTGTCACTTGCATCACTCTAGCATGCCATGGCAAACCCTTTGGGAACCCGTGCTATAGATAATCTTACATGTACAAGAGGCGGATTGAATTCCATGTTATACACTCTTCCACTAGCTGGGTGAATCCAACGAGCACTGAGGCGGTCTTTCAGTGTCTCAAACGGGATGTTTAAACTGATAACTAGATCCAGCTCACAGATTCGGTCAAGTGCTTCAGCTTGTACTAATGTTCTAGGAAAACCTGGACACAGAGGAAAAAAAACAAGTGAAACCACAAGCAGTAGCCAGACAATTTTCATACTTATTGGCAGATCATAAATAAATTCCACAATATTAGTGCTGGTGGGGGTATTGGGAGAGAGACAGGGATCCGCTTATAACACAAAGAATACAAAAGCAGTGAAGGCACAGACATTTAAAAAGAAAAGTTGTAAAGTTATACTCCATTCCCATGGTATAGCAACTCTGTTGATGTAACTTTAACTTTCAGTTAACTTACGCCTGCAAATTGAACAAACTGCAAAAGCACATACTCTTCAACAAGTGTTTCTAGTACGTTCTCCTCTATAGGTTCACATATAGCCATCTAAAGATATCCGAGTTCCTAAAAGCCGTTGGTTTGTTTTACCAATCTAAAAATAACTCTGCAGTGCAAAGATTACAAATGGCTGTGCTAACGCACTGGGTTGGGTTTTAGGATTGTCATAACCCAAAGGTATGATTTTGTGTGCGCTTCGGCACTAAAATTATCCCCGCCAAATTGCAGCTTCGTTGCACGGTGGAGTTTTCTGCTGCAGAGGAGAACCCCGGTGCAAGGAAGAGTTTCCTGCCTATTTGCAGCTTCCTTTGCAGGGTGCATTGCTCAAGTTGCAAGAGAAATGCACGGTGCAAAGGAGTTCCCCCCACCCACATGCAAATTTGTTCCCCGCTATTGGCTAGTTCTAAATTATTCCCACGTGGCAGCTAACGATTGGCCTGTTAGCCGTATAAGAGGCTTGAGCGGTTTCCGCCCAAGCCGAAGAGGACTCCACATCCATCTCGTGGGGACTCTGGGTACACGGCAGGGTAATAGAAACCCTGTGCGAGAGTCAGAGGAGTTTGGCGACCTGATCCATCACCCACCTCTTCCCGTCTTCGAGCGATAATTCTTTATAAGACGTATCTACGAAGTTCCTATTTTGGTGGCGCGCTTGTCCACAGCATCCGGAGCTCTGTTTCCGTGGAGCCTAGCAAACTCCATGTGACCGTTCGTGTTGTCTTTGTCTGTAACCGCAACTCAAGCAAGTTTTCCAGCCTGCACCGCAACCATCTCCGGTGTAAGTAAACAATCTTTAAATCTACCGCTACGAGTCTGTGCCTAATTCTAGCTTGACGCGCCCTGTCTCCGACCCCGCGTGCCCGGGCTGCTGGCCACAGCCCGCGTGCAGCACGAAAAAGGGCCCAGCTCGCGCCCGGCCCGCACAAGGATACGCAAGTTTAACTCCCAACCAAGGTCACAAGTATGCTGCTAAGTCACTCTCTAAAACAGAGACAATATGTTAGAAGGATACTGCAAGGTACTCAGTCATATTGGCAGGGGTGGAAAAAGCCATAAGCACCTAAAATTGGCTGCGGCCAATGTGAGAGCACCACAACACCAAGGAAAGGGCCTCATAGCGTATCATCTATTTCAGGGCTGCCCAACTTCTAAGCAGCCAGGGGCCACGCTAATGGGAACCGCATCAAAGTGACCCCTCCCCACTGCACCATGTGGATGCCACCACCTCATCATTGTACCAGTGGAAAAAGCCATCAGCACCTAAAATTGGCTGCGGCCAATGTGAGAGCACCACAACACCAAGGAAAGGGCCTCATAGCGTATCATCTATTTCAGGGCTGCCCAACTTCTAAGCAGCCAGGGGCCACGCTAATGGGAACCGCATCAAAGTGACCCCTCCCCACTGCACCATGTGGATGCCACCACCTCATCATTGTACCACATCCCTTTGTCCTACCGCTGAATTGCCTGCCCTCTCCCCCCACACCACCACTGCACTGTGCGCCTGCATAGCCCCAAGGCTCACCCTCAGCTTCCCCAATAGCACTGTTCTGCCCCAGCCCCTAGTGTGGGGGCAGGCAACAGAAGCCAAACGAGGGAGACAGGGGGCAGGAAAGGAAAGGTGGCTGGGTAGGAGCCCAGGGGCTGCAACTTAAGGCCTCATGGGCAGCCAGTTGCATAAAGGTAGGAAAAGATGGGAATCCTGGCTTGTACTGTGTCCAGTGAAGACTGGAGGTCACTGAACTCCCACTGGAATCAACAGGATATGGCACTCAGCACCGCACAGAATCAGTGTAATAGTGTAAGCTATGAACTTTAATACATGACTACGCATAACCATGGTTACATATTAAGTTTGCATCCATTGGACTTGGAGAGAAGGTAGATCAGTGACAGATCCTGCTGGGCCAGCAAGTTAATGGGATATGGCTGAACAGCAATTTAGGCAAGGTGCGTGCCAGAGCCCTTCGTGAAGCATGCCATTTTTCTGAGACTATCCATAGCTCTTATTACTGTACCCTAAGTGCACTACAGGAAAGGCAGACAAATTCCTAGTCCCAGTCAATGACTATCATTCTTAACTGAAGCATGGAAGGAGGCAGCTTTGAGGAAGGAAGAGTTATTCTCTCACAGGACTCGGCAGCATTTTGCTTGCCAATGAAACAGTGGTAGTGAGTTTCCAAATGACTGCTGACCACTCTTGACCAGACCAACCAACTGTTTCAATGTACTGACTTGAAAGCCAAGGGTGACATGCATTTACAAGCAAGAACAAGACAGGGATCCAAGAACATGGAGTTTTCCTCATCAAGTGGTTACATGTAAGGGAGCATCTATAGGCGAGGCAGACAAACCCACTAACTTCAGCTTCAAGTTCAAGCTATAAAATAATTTGGGGATAGCTGTTTGTGGACTGTACTGACCCAGAGTTAAAGGGACCACAAAGGTCAACACCTTGCACAGCTTTGGGATGACTATTCCTGGCCCATCCCAGACAAGTACCTAACCACCCTCCTCTTGAAAAATCTCCAGTGAAGAGAATTCCACATCTTCCCTGGCAGCTGGTTCCATTGCTCCATGATTTCCAGTTCAGAAGCTTCCCCCAATCCCTCCTCGAGATTTAATCCAAAAATATTTTGTTGCAATGTCCATAACCTAAATGTCCTACCCTGTGGCAAGGAAAAATGATTGTTCATGGCAGCCTTTCAGATATTTGAAAACTGCTATCAAGTCCCCCCTTAGATCTCCTTTTCTCTGAACTGAAGTTACCCCCATTAGTATCTGTTCATTTATATTTGGGTCTTTCTTCCCCCAAGATATAAGGCCCTATATTGGTCTGTGCTGAATTTCATCCTGCTAGTCTACAGCTCAGTTGTCCAGTCTAGGTGTCCACATTTTCAAGATCCCTTTGGAAGACAGGATTACAATTCAGGGTGGTTGCAAGCCCTCCCAGTTTTAAGTTAAGTCCAACTAAAAAAATCACAAAAACGCCGAATTAAAGTTATTAAGAAAAACGGCTCTATCACCAAACCCAGAACAGACCCTACTTGAAACTTCCTGCTGTTATGACAAAGCTCTAACAGTGAAGGAAGATGTGCATGCATACAGAAGGATATAGAAAGGAGGGAGTACTGCAATGAAACTCTGCTCTAGTGGAGCTTCAGGCTTCAATGCTACTGGGCTGCTCTGCTCCTCTGCAGTTCCTTTTCCACAGTATTAGTGCTGTGGCATTCAGTCTATCAAGAGAGGTGGTCCCAATTTTCATGAGCTAGATGCATATAATCTGCATTGTTTTGGGGGGTTTTTTGGTTTGTTTGTTTTTTAAAACTAGAACTTTTTTAAATTGAGAGCTCTGTACAGAATGCATCACAGAGGCCTGACCATTTTAAGCAGCCATGCAGACAGTGCATTAAAATTCTTCCATCTCACTAAACGGTGTCCCACTTAGAATGAAAGATAATCTGGGGAAAGAAAAATAACAACAGCAACCAAAACACCTAGGCTGTATTTACAGTTCTGCCCCAGACCTCCACTAGTTATGCACAGAAAAATGAAACAAACTTCCCCATCTGCTAAATATGAAGGATACCCCCTTCCCCCCCACTGCACAGTGGTGTTGTCACTAGTGTTACTAGGGTGGGGCAAATGGGACAACAGCCCAGGTATCAATATGGCCCCTTCCCCCAGGAGTCTGTCACAGCCATAGAAGTTGGGCAGGTGCAGCCCATGCCCAGCAATGTCTCTGGAGCAAGGAGAAGGAGGGTGGAATGATACCCCTCCCTAGGGAGGTTTTGCTATGGGAGGCACAGCCCTGCCCTGGGGAGGCCAAACAGGGCAGTAGGAACAGCCCCTTGGGGAGCCTGTACCTCTACCTGCCCCTGTGCTGCTACAGCAGCAGCAATAGCAGTTGCTGCTGAAATGAGAGCCCTGGCAGTAAGACTCCTCTCCCACCTTCCAAAGCGGTCAGCATAATCCCACCAGCCCCAGGCACCCGAGTTGACCGCATCTCTGTGTTACAAGGCCTGGTTCAGCAATGGTCATAAATCATGCCAGGGAAAATAAACTAGCATCACCACCACCTCAATAACCAGATAGCCATTGTTGAACAATTAGTATCTACACCCACATTGTAAAAAGTCCTTTTAAAAATCACTATACACTGAAAAGCTGTGGGAAATACTCCTTAGGCAACATAATTCTGATTTTACCATTCAGGACTGGCTGCCTGCTAATATAAAAAAAGCCAGGGACTGGAGATGACAGTCTTAGTAGAAGAACAAAATTAATGTCACAATATTTGAGGTGGTCTCCTGGGATAAGATGTTGCTGCATAGCAACTTTCAGAGATAGTTCGTATGCTGAAGCCTCACACTACTTACGTTACAGCAAGTTTACCGTGGACTTCAATGGGGACGGGATTTTAGCCCACTTCTCAGTTCCTTTGTCAGTAGTGGCAGTTCGAAATCTTTCAGTACAAGATTGAGGCACAGTTGGAAAGAGAAGCTGAAGGCTGAAGTGGGTGTGAGTGGGTGGGAAGTAGGTAAAAGCTATCCATGAAAAAAGCTAGCAAGCCTGGTTGTGGATTTATATAGGACAGCATGTGCATGATAGAACTGTCATAAATTTAGTTGTCATCAGAGGGAAAAAAAATGGCTTAACATTCATAAGACTGATCATGATCAAAGGACCTTTTCATACCAGAG